GAAGAAGGAGAAAAAGAAAAATATTATAAAAGGTGAAAGAAAAAATGAAGAATAACAAAAGAGAGAGAAAAAAAAAGCAAGATCTTTAAAGAAGCAACTTCCGATCTTTTTTTCAGCAGTGGCAAATGTAGCAGTTATCATCTCCACCCTCCCGTACTGCATATCCTAGTTCCCTTCTTCCCAGAAACAAAGCTCTTTACTCAAGAAATCCCCAAATCAGCTGTTCATTTTTATCCATTTTCAGCAAAAAGTCTATAAAGGGTTTCCAGTCTTTACAAAAAAGTAGTTGTAGTTCCCTCCTTAACCAAGCGAGCCAATTTAGCCAGTTCTGCAAACTCAGCCCTCTTCGCAATCCATTCCTCCAAAATGAAGCATGTTAAAACTAGAATAAGAGCAAAACCCCCAACACAGGGTAAGATTCATTGGTGGGCTCTCAGGGTATGTCTGATTTTAAAGGCAGCGTAACAGAATTTGGCTAGATTCAAGGAAACTAAAACATACTGAACTGATAACAGTAACTGTACATTAAAATAATCAGAATTTCCCAGGTTCCTTTAGATTTCCTTTTACCAGGTAAGGAGTTATAAGGCGGGTCCTAGGATCCTTATAGATATGCAGTGTTTAGTTGTCTGAATCCGACTATTGATTTTCACGAGTTTGTTTTGCCTATTTATGCCTTCATTCGAATGCCAGAACTCCTATATCCGTGGCATTAAACCGTGGTTTATTTTGGATAACCAGCCAGAGTTTGAAACTATGATTTGAAAGGGCATACCTATTAGTCTGGATTGTTCATTATGGCTAACTCACACCAAAGGTATTTTGGTGTGGGCTTTAAAATATGTAGGAACCCTGCTTTTTGTCTGCCACTGGGGCGGGCAGTTGCCCATTTGCTAGCCAATTTGAGATGGTCAGGAGGCTGTTGGCCTCCAAATGGCACATGGTTGTCACTTCTGCCTTCCTAGGGTCAAAGACCCATTAACCGCTTTGGGATGAGGAAGGAGATATGTGAGGATATGTCTTGTATCAGAGATCATGGCAAGGGTGCTTCCCCGTTGCACTTGTGTGTGTGTGCGCCAGTCAGCCTCGCCAAGAAAGTTTCTGCGGTCATCTTCCATTTCTCTGGCTCCAAAGTAGGTTTTTCAAGCTGGTGCAGTCAGTCCAGGTGCCCACAAGCTGTTGTGGACTCTCATCTTGGGAGCTCGTGAACAGCCCAAGCTTTGAAGAGCTTCCCATCTCCTTAGAAGATCTGCCTTCCAAACATGGGTACATTGCTAGGCAGAACCGAACCTGTTGAAGGTTGGGGGCATCTCCAGGGCGTCACTGCAGGAGGCTTATGGTGATGGGTGTTCAAGAGGCCAGGCCAAGCAGCTTCAACAGCATCCAGAGACTATTCTGCCATTCTTGCTTAGCCACAAGAGAGGATCATCTCAGGGACTTGTGGTCTTCAAGTCACATCTCCCAAGTCTAGAGTTGAAGACCGCCCAAGCCCCCAGCCCCTAGTCATCAGGTGAGTCCTATGTCTCCTCAATATGGCCACTTAATGCTCTGCCTAATGTTTGAGCCAGGTAGCTCATCTCTCTGTTGCACAAACTGATCTTGAAGAACGGATGGCAGAGACTGTTTGTATAGGTCCCAAAGGTGCTTGGACAGATAAGAAGGCCTCGCTAGGCACGGGGACGCTTTGAGATAATTCACGCTTCTCCAGGGTCGGTGGATAACCCAGGTCACCGTTGTGAATGTCCTCCTCAATCGCCCTACTCCTTTGCCAGCTGTCTTGACATTTCTGAGAGGCAGAAAAAAAATCCTGCCTGGCTGCATTTGATCTAAGGCTTTACAAAACTCACCTCCCTTCCAGCCTGCTTGTTTCCTTGCGTCAAATCACTTAATTAACCGCAGGGAGGATTTATTAGCGTGTCATCCCAGGGGAACCTTGGTTAAACAGGGATGTTTAATTTCGTGCTGCTTTTTAGCATGGGGGCGGGGGGTGCATGGACCAGCGAGGGACAGTACAAGCCATCTTCTCTTCTGAATTCTTCGGCATTCCAACAGTCTATTAATCTGCACGGCCTAATGGCCAGAGAGACTGAAATTAGTAAGGTGGGGGTAAGGTCCCCTCTACTTAAGTGAAAAATTTGCAAGCAACCTTGAATTTCCTTTATTGCTCTAGATCCTCCTTTGGGTCTGCTGCTCCGGTTTCTGCCGAGCAACCCTTTCTTTGCTCAGGGAGAAGTGTGGTAAAGAGTCGTTGGCCATCAAGAGCATGAGTTGCCAAGGTGGCTTGGCTTGGGTTCCCCGCCCTATACCCCCCACCCCATTCAAGCCAAGTCCAAGTAAACAGGATCGATGCGTGCAGGCCCCGTGTATGGATGAATAAGTAAACAGAGAGACTGAAAAAACACGGGCTGTTCAAGAATATGCGAATATCCAGAGATGACAACAATTCATCCAAGTTCCTTTGAGCAAAGCTGCCTTGGCTAGAATCCAACTGAACTGTTGATTAACAGGAGGGAGACCAGCTAAAGAAAGCCATTGACAGAAGACAGAAGACAGAACCATTACATAACTTTACTGCTGTAAAGCAGCTGTTTTGAAATCCTTTCTTTTTTTTTTTTGCAAACCCCTGGGAAACACCATGCCTGAACCCACCCAGCATGACTGTGTTTTTTGCCTTAAGGGCAACAGCTATTGGGGTTGTTACATCAGGGAACGTGGCTTAATGCTTTGTCTGAACCCAGCCTTGTCCTATATATCTTAAAGCGAGCCGCGTTTTTGTACACAGTGTGAATCCGGCCGTACTCTCTTCAAAGCGAGTTGTCTTTTAAGTTGACAATTGCAAACCGGCAGGAGAGCACAGATGAAGTCTTTTGTCTCAGGTGTCTAGAAAGTCTTGTTTAAAAAAAAAGGCAGGCATTAGAGGTTTGATTGGCAAGCCTAAAAATACTGTTGGAAGAATAATGGGAGGAAAATAGGGCGTCTTTAGATGTTCCTGCTTTAGGGAACGATGCATTCAGGGTAGAAAACGGGAAGCAGTTTGTGGATCTTGCCATAAGCCACCAAATCTGTGTTGAAGTCTCCTCTTGGAAATCTTGGGAGAAGAAGGGATCCTTTCTAACCTCCCCTTGTTTTGTTCTGCACCAAAAAAATTCTCCCTGCTCTTCTCCCACCGTGCCACCTCTCCCTTCCCTGGTTTTGACCGCAGGGGTTTTGAATTCCTCTTGCTCAGGGTTTGTTGCTTTTCCAAAATGCGAGGCCGCTTGACGGGTACCATGACAAAGCAGGAAAAGCAGAGAGCGTTCAGGATCCAGGTGTGAGTGGCGTACCTTAAGAGGAGCGAAAAGTATGCGTTTCCGATCATCTGTGATGCCTCCTCTGCTTTGATATACCGTCCTGTTTTCTCTCCGTGGAACAGGCACTGGCTCAAGCTGTCCCCCATCTGCCTTTGCGTGTTTGCTGTGTGTGTGTGTGTTTTTTTAAATACCGTAGTCATTCTTTGTCTGACCACCAAGTCCTTAGCGAAAGCAGAGATTGGAGTCACTCTTCTCTCTCTGCTAGCACCTTATTTATTTATTCCTTTAATGTATGTCCTCCTTCTACCCACAGAACTATTCCAGCTTTCTCCCTTCTGCGCTCAGTTTCCTGACTCAATTGTATCCACCCTGGGATCTAATCAGTCTCATGGGCTGGTCAGTTTCCCCCCTGGCCCTGCCTCATCAATTTCACATGGTCCATTTCATATTGATGGGGCCCTCCCCGGTTTCCCCAGCCCTGTCTCTTCCTCTAGCAGCATCCCAGAAATAAAACAGATCCTGCAGCAAATGCATGGAACTCGCTTGGATCAGCTGTTCCGGTTTACTAGGGCAGCCTCAAAACAGAGCCTCTCCGGTACGTGGTTAAGAAGCTGATTCAGAGATGCAGTCCTTCCCCAGCTCTGGTAGTGGCTTCTGGCCATGCGCTGATTGTGCTAGCCTGCTTTTCTTCATGGGGGAGCAGTCCTAGTTTTAGCACAGGGAGCGAGATGTTGACTGGATCCCCCCCCCCCCACTTCCCACAGCAGCCCAGGAATCGTGCCTCCGGGGCATCGCTTCTGTCCTGGTTATTCTTGGAATGAGCCCAGGGCCTTTCTTGGCAGCCTTTTTCAAACAGTTTTGCAGCTGGCATTCAACAGGACAAGTCCAGGGCCCCCACCATTCAGCAGCTGTTGTCAGAAGACGCGGTAAACCCAAGCAGGAAGGGACGGGTGTGCGTCTCCTCCCGAGGAGGACTAATCACGCCACTTCCCACATGCAGGCCTGCATTGGAGCACCCTTGGGTGCTGCTCCTGGTGGCCGCTGTGCGCCCTCTTTCTTATTACTTAAGAGACAGTTTGGTGTAGTGGTTAAAGACATCAGGCTAGAAACCAGGAGAATGTGAGTTCTAGAACCCGCGTTAGGCACATGGGTGACTTTGGGCCAGCCGCGCGCTCTCAGCCCTAGGAAGAAGAAGGCCAGGATGAAAATGTTGCCAAGAAAACCACAGGGCCTTTTTCAGGCAGTCGCCAGGATTCAAGACTGACCCGAAGACCCACGCAATCCATGAGTTTGCCGCTCAAGTGGTTTTGAAATCCACAAATAGATGCTAGTGAAAATTAGCAGGATTCTTAGCTGGGGAGGCAAAGGTAGAACCCCACCCCACCTCACCCCAGGTGATTTTTTTCCCTTTCACTTCCTCCACTCGTACCTTTCGTCTTAGGCGAGCTACCAGCATTACAATGCTAGTCATTTTATTTGCCACCTCTTTCCACCAATTCCATCCCCCCACCCTCTTTTTTTTAACAACTCAGGTGCTCCTTTTTAACCATGTGCTTCTTCCCCCTATGGTTCATGATTGCCTTCCTGGGGGAGAATCCCCCAACTTGAACTTCATCAGGGACCACGCAAAGCCATCATTAAAGCAGAAACTTTGGGGGGGGGGCCTTCGGAGTTGAGACTGAGCAATGATCTTCTCCCCCCACTTTGCAGCTCCATCCTGATAGCAACCCCACCAACCCTGAGCTGCACAGCCAGTTTGTGAAGCTCAACGAAGCCTACAACGTGTTGAGTAAAGAGAAAAGCCGCAGAGATTATGATGCCCAGCGAACCACCCAGAAGACCTGGGAACGTCAGGGATCCGGTGGGCGTTCGGCCCAAGACCCTTTCGATTTTGCACATTTTCATAACCAGCAAACGGCCCAGAAGACCCGGGAACGTCAAGGATCCAGCAGACATTCAGCTGAGGACCCTTTTAACTTTGCTCACTTTCATGCAAGGAGAAGGTAACGCATGGTGGTTCCCCCAAGGACAAGATTACTTATCCCCCAAACAGGTTCCCAGCACTGGTCACCCCACCCTCTTTCCCACTGCCCTGGTTTCTTGGCGCGCTGGGAGACGCAGCCCAAACTGAAGGGACCAAGCTCCCATCGGTAAATTAGGATTAAAAATCCGGATCTGCCTGAATTGTAGCACAGAAGTGGGGGGCCTTCTTCACGGCAATCCAGGTGGCTCTGCAAAAATTTTGAACCAGTGACATTATGCGCCAGCTCTGGAGGGTCTGTTCAACAATTCTCATCCTGGGTCTCTCACTCTCCCCC